TGAAAGTATTTTATGTGTGTCATAGGATTGAGCAAATGAATAAATACGTTGATGTTTTTGGGATCCAAATTTCTCAATGTGGAAGATACAAAAATATAGAAGAAGAAGAAAAAATAAAACTCTGCAGGGGAATAAAAACTAAAGGTATGGGTATAAACTTCTTTTATAGTCTAGCTTCATCTGCTAAAAAGACCTAGAAGTCATTGCATGTCAATAACTGTGAGCACAGCTAGCATTCAAATTTTGGTTTCTAAATTCCATTGTCCTTGGAAAGGAACCAGGGTCTCCCTGGAGAACTAGATTATTACAGGGCCGGGGAAAGAGATGATACAAGATGAGCCTAGAACATCCTCTTACTCCACAAGGTAAGGAAGTACTTCAAAAAATGAGGGAAACATGTCAAAAAAACATAGGAGCAGCTTGAAAAATCTCCCTATGGGTCACTGATCATTTGAGCATCAAAATAAATAACAGATTACAATCCACCGTAAAAAGTAAAAATTTGTGAGTCCATATTGATTATAAATAGAAGAATAAACAAATAAAAGAAAATAGAGGGCTTATCTTACAACAGAATGCTGACATCAATTTGGGGGAAGTAGTAAAGTTGAAAAGTCACCGTATTAAACCATCAGTGAGCAGGAATTATAAATGACTGCTACATTTTGGGTTCAAAATTTGATGAGTCATAAACTATGATCTTAAAGTGTGTCCCCACAGATTCTTTAATCATTACAAGAGTTAAAAAAAAAAAAAAAACCTGTCACTACACAGAAACCAGACAATACCTTGAACCAGTTACTAAAATTAATGCCAACAATAAGGATCAGACAAATCATATGGCTCTATGTGTGTTACTCTGAGAAGCACACAATCTCATACAAATAGAATTCTGGCCAGGAATTCTGCATAACCTTTAGCTCATCATGAAGAATTATCAGATAAAAATTATCAGATAAACCCAAACTGAAGAATGTTCTATAAAGAAACTGGTCTGTGTTTTTCAAAAATATCAATATAATGAAAGATAAAGAAAGGTTAAATAACTACTGTATTCACAAGTAAAAGAGAAAAAACACACAACTAAGTACAATACATGAGGCTGGGTCTTGTACTTGATGAAAATGTAATATTACAAAGAATGTTATTGGTATAATTGACAAAATTAGAATAAGAAGTATCAAGTAGATAAAAGTGTTATGTCAGTGTTAGGCTTCCTATTATGTAATAACTATATTCTGGTTACAAAAGAAAATATCCTTGCCTTTAGGAAACACACACTGAAGTATTAAGGCACAAAGAATATGACACCTTCTTTCAAATTATTCAGAAAACAATACAGTGGACAAAACAAATGTGCCGAAACACTTAAAATTGTTGAATCTTGATAAAAGGTGTATAAGTGTTCTCTGCATTATTCTTGCAACTTTTCTCTAAGATTGAAATTATTTCAAAATAAGATGTTTTTAAAAATATCATATAAAAGTGAGCAAAAGGAAAAGAAAATGGTGCCCTCTACAGCCCCATGCCAGAGTTAGCACTGCTGAGTTTCAGCACTGCATTCCCCTTCAGCCAAAAGCCCTTGCCCAAGGGAAACCTTGCACAACCACCCACAGCAGGAGTAGAAGAAAAGGGGTGGGTTGGCCTCTTTGAAGATCCCTACACCCAAATGATTGCTGCCCCTATAATTACAAGGAGAGGAGGACTTCACTTACCATAGACAATCAGAAATTCCCCAAATCCAAATCCAAGAGTTCAGAACGTGTGAGTCTTTCAGATTCTCACTCTGAACAAGTCTGATCAGTCTATGCTAAGAGCCTGAACTCAAACACAACCATATTGACAATCGCTCTCTTGGTCCCTTAGAAACCTCATAGAAAAAGTAGAAAAAACCCAGTAATGGACCTCAGTAGTAAAATTCTCTATCCAACTGAGACCTTTTCTTGAGATTTCTTCTCAGGTCCCTAGTCTTGGGCAATTTACAAGTTAATTAAACCAACAAGCAGTTGAAGGGAAGAAATCTTGCAGTAGAATCTAGATCTAGCAAAACTGGAAATAAGCCTGGTCTCCTCTATTTCAACAAGAACATGTCACTACAAATCTGACTGGATCAAAGAAAGCTAATCTATCTCCTAAGAATAGACAAGAGATAAGCAAGTCTTGAGTCAAAACTCTCTTGGGTGAAGCCAAAATATGCTTTTAAAAATCATTATTTTAATCATTTTGAGGTTACAAAGGAGTTACTAGTTACATAAGTAGATAAAGAAAGTTCATTAAACAGTTTTGTAATCTAGCTGCATGATAATTGGATGTTTTGCAAAGCCTAGAACCCAGCAAATGAATCCAAATGAGAAGGACATTACAGTGGTCTTTCTCAAAAAATTGAGCTATTTAGGGAACTCTGTCAAAACTACAGGGATAGTTTTAGGGGAAATTCTTAATTGGATGGAGGGAAATACATGTCCATGGAGTCTTTAATACAGCTAAAACCTCCTTGGAATCCTTCTCCCACCAACTCTAGCTTGTCACCTGCGGGGGAGGAAAGCCTCAACAGAATAAAGGAATGAACAGACACTAACAGTGATTTTGATGAAAAACTAATTAGGAATATAACAAGGAGATTGTTAATTCCTGCCAGAATTAAAATTACAGACATTATCATGTTGGAAATGTGAATTCTAGAAAAGAACAACTCTCAGCTCACACTTTGAATACTACAACTAGAAGAGAAAGAATGATGAATTAAAATACCATGAAGGGAATTGGAGACTTGGGCAAACATGAAGTTTTGTGGTAAAGAGAACATGTGGATATTCTGAAATGGATGCAAGAATGAGAGGTCGTAATGCCCTGTGTGTGACTCTTAGAGAGTCAGAGTGGGTGACGGAGCACAGAACCAGAGCTGGACCTAAGGCAAATGCTGACTCAAGGCAGAGTGTTGAGAATAAATGAAAATGTATGTGGACACAGGGAGGGGAACATCACACACAGGGGCCTGTCAGGGGGTGGAGGGCAAGGGAAGGGAGAGCACTGGCACAAATACCTAATGCATGTGGGGCTTAAAACCTAGATGATGGGTTCATAGGTGCAGCAAACAACTATGGCACATGTGTACCTATGTAACAAACTTGCACATTGAGCACATGTACCCCAGAACTTAAAGTAAAATTTTAAAAAATGAAATGTATGTAGAGGCAAATGGGTAGAGGAACTTCAACACTGAAAAGAAAATGAACTGTGTTCTACAGGCCATAAGAAAAGTATGTTCTTAATTCCATCTTCATGTTTTCCCAGAGTTAAACTGAATAGGCTTTAAGGATTTTTTCTTTTTTTCTAACTGTAAGGAAATGTTGCAATTATATGCTAAATGAGACCTATGGTCAACTTTATGCACTTTATTCCTAAGACGGTAGAAACTTCAGCTGATTTGATTTAATCGTTAGCCCAGGGACATGAATCACAAGAGAATTTCTATTTTTCAGATGAGCAGGGTAAATTCTAAGATGAGATTTAACAGACACTTATTTAGCCACAGAAAGCTAATTGAAAGCCTCTTTCAAAGTTAGGCTGGACATTGAGAAATCCTGCACTGGTGCTGGGCTCAGGCCTCTACTGGGCAGCCCCTTCTCTCTTCTCTGTCCTCACATGCCTCGGAAAAATCTCTCTCTATTTTTTAAGATCATTTGTAGTTTTCTCTCCTCCCAAGTCCCCCATCAAGAGCTGGACGATGTTATAATTTTCTGTTACTAAAATTTTTATTTCTTTAAAGTGGTCATAAATGCTGGCTTGATGACAATCCAGAAATACTTCATATACTAAACACAAAAACTCACTATGAAAATTGCTTGGTTTATTTTTGTTTATGTTATTGAGTTCTTGCAAATGACACAGCTGAATGTTTATCCTACCACAGGGAAATGCATTTTGTTATTTGTATTTGTAGATTTTAGGTTTTTTTCCTTCCTAGTTTTGCTTTAAAAGATAGGGGCAATAAGGAGGTGACTTAAACACACACCCAGACCTTTCCCTAGCACCCCCTAAACCTCACGAATTTCAAATTTAGGAAAATGTTATTTAACAACTTTTCAAAATTTTACTTATTTTTCATCAAGATTTAAATAGCTCAAAGTCAGTAATACTGAAACACGAATTGAGATAGACTAGACCCTCACCATTGTTTTCTATACTGACCCAAGACCTTTTCCTGGGATGGCTCTAGGAGGCCCATGAGCCTTCACCCTACCCTCATGAACTAGGTCTCCTTGGACGTGGATGTCAGAGCAGGACATGGATATCAGAATGGACAGAGACAAAGAGGCCCAGTGAGGAGCAAAACAATGAGACCACAAGAGAAGGCCACTGTTGTTAATACCACTAGCTTATATAAGACTCCTGAAATTATAGCAGCAACACGCAATCTAACCAGATTTCCAGGGAGACTGCTGTTAAATGGCAATTAAATCTACGTGAATGAGTAAAGCAAATAATGGAGAAATAGGGAACAAGACATATGCATGTACGATCCCTTATTTTGCAATGAGATATAATAAATTAGAGCTTCGGGAGTTGTACTAATAATTGGAATTACACACTTCTTGGCCACTGTTGGAAGGCGTATCTGCTCCAGACCTCAAGTGAACCATTGTTGAGGCCTCACCTTGTCTTCTCCTTGATGGGAGGGGAAATAAGTGAGCACCTACATCATCGTTTTATCCTTCTCTCTGTCGGGTGAGTAGGTTGTGTTTTTCTAAAAGACAGCCACTGGTCTCTAGCCCTCCAAACCTCACAAACACTGAATATTATAAAGAGGTGGCTTCTGGGCTTCCAAAAGTTGACAAAACCCATAGAGAAAAAAAAAGTCCCAGTTGTATGTTTCTTCCTACAGAGCAGCATGCAATCAACTCATGGCAATCTCTTTTGAACATTTCCTTAGTGACAAAATGTTTTAGATCATGAAAACAAACATTCTTAGAAAGAAGAAAAAGTCTTACTGACCATAGATCCCAAAGAAAAACACCAGAAGCAGGTGGATGTTTTGGCCCCACGCATCCCTCAGGCAGTTTCTGTCCTTGTGGTTGCTGAGTTTGTAGTCACATGCCGCTTTGGTAATGTCAATCCAGAGAGGCCACAGACTGAAGAGCAACATGTAGATTACAAAGAGTATGGCTTTTGGATGGAACTGAGTTCAAATCCTGACTCCTCCTCTCTCTGGTGACTGTGGGGTTTATCTCTGTCCAGTGCCAAGCTCTGTAAATAGGGATAAGAGGGCCTACATCACAAAGTTGTAAGGATTGAACAAAACCATGCCTGCAGTAAGCATTCAGTCAATATCTTCCCCTTGTATTTAGTAAACAGTGCTTGTCTCCGGGAGGATCCCAAGTTTCCAGAGATGACATTCATACAAATGCTCCAGTCAGCACTAGCTGATGGACTAAGGGAAGGCATCAAGAACTTTTATACAAAATAGAAACTGAGGCACAAATTGTGGAATTAGTACCCAGACATTGAATCCTTTCCAATCATGGGACTGTGTCAGCTCCCTCAAATGAAGCTCTGTGCCCTAAGTTTGATACTGGGAATGAACATGAAATGATACATGGTTTGTTTGTTTCTTAAAATTTTTTCTAATGCTGTATCATATTTAAAATAAAAGCTAGGGAATCTCACGTTTAAAGTAGTTGTATTATACAAAATGCTAAAGCAGCACCACATTTTTCTCCTATACAGCAATCTGGTAACTTACACCAGGTTACCTGTGTAACAAACAGCACCCTGTGTGTTCAGTACAGCGTGTTCGGTGGAACCACGAAGTTCTGCATGGTTAGGGGTGGAGGCAGCTGTGTTGACAGGGATCCAGACCTCCACTTCCAGATCACTAGAGATCACCCCCACTTGAGATCACCAGATAGGGCTAGCCACGGTAGCTAATTGCATCCTTGATGAAGTATTTAACCAATTGTGGCCTATGTTTCCTCATCTACAAATAGGATAGACGATGATCTTTAAGGACGCTCAAAGCCCAGATATCATCTAGCCAGACAATAAAAGAGAAACAAACTCAATTTTACCCTTTCCTCTCAGTATGAACTGATAAACTAAGCTAGAAAAAGGTAATGCTTTCAAAATTCCAAAGCATTCGTTTCACAAGTCAAACAATTTTTATCACTTTTTTTTCTGATTTACAAAAGAGTTGAAAATACACTGCTACTATGTGTGTCCGGCACCGGGCCAGGTGCTTTATCTACAGCCCCTCAGTTCATCTGAGCACCTGGAGAGACAGAGGCAGGAACCAATACATGATGGGGGCTGTAGGTGCCACACACTGGGCTGGATGAGTTTCATGAATCACCTCACAAGGAGTGTATCAACATCCAGTGTACACCCCAAGATGGCAAGTATGAAGCACAGTCACAGTTTGAAGTCAGGTTTGACAGTTTCCAAAGCCTATGATCTTTCCTTAACTGCCTGCATCAAGTCAGGAGAGTTGGCCCATAGTGAGAGCTTTGCAGAAACAACATAACATTGAGCAGAAACTTCCTGTCTGTAGGCCTCGACATTCTCACAATGAAATCCCTTAGGCTAAGCCTCAAAGTTCTCCAAGGACCTTAGAGCTCTAAAATTCAATGATTATCTGGTCAATGCAACAACCACAGAAAGAAAATGTACTAAGTATCTGTGAAGCAGGGTTCATCTCTATGTCTAATTGGATTTCATTGCTATCTTAATTCTTATCTCCCAGTTCATCCCCTTGTCCACACCCCCACCCCGCCATAACAGATGATCTCCAGGGATTTGGGTATTGCAGAACAATTCAAATTAGTGGAATACATATTGCACAGTAATATACTTCACCATAAAAAAGGTGAGCAACCCACTTATGGAAGCTTCCAAATCAAATGACTTATTCCTCTTCTCACAGCTAATCAACAAGGGCTCAAGGGACAGTTATTTGTTGATCCTTGAGTGTAGGGTGTGTAGGGTGATGTCCCCTCTGACCCTTTCAATTCAGACATCTACCAAAAGGCCTGAGAAGCTATTGTACTTCTGGGACTATTCTTTGTTTTTTAAAAACAAAAAAAGTGCAGGAAGATATTCAGCGGAATAAAAGAGAAACATCGACGTTTCCATTGGTAATCTGGTCCGTGTGTTCCCTGCTACTGAGCATTTTCAGAAGGCCTGACTGTCTGGGTTAATTGTTTAATGCTTTTAGTTAGAATTAAACTTTGCACCTGCTCTGACAGTGATAAATTAAATGTGCTCCTTTTCCAATACTGTTGCCCTCTTTAAGTAGAGACCAAGAAGTGTATCTCCCTTCTTCCCCTGCGTTTGAGGAATCTCTGCTACACTGGAGTGTAAACCAGCATAATTTGTCACCAGAGCTAGCGCCAATTAAATTGATTGCGTCGGACTGAACTCTGGGACCCCTAATGCAAGCACTAAGGGAAAAATGGGCTCTTTTCTGCCCATTCCCCCATGTGGCACTTAGGCATAGCTCAACAGTGGAAGGCTTTCAAGGTTCAAAAGGGTTTTATTTTCAAAAGAAATGGGCATTGATCAGCTGCATTTAAAGGCAAAGATAATTCCAGAGCTTGAAGGCTGGATTTGTGTTTAAGGTCTAAATCTCTTTCTTTAACCTTGGGGGGCCAGTATAACATAAAAGCAACAAAGAGATTAAGATTACAAAGGGTTTGCAAGTGTAAATGATGCGGTGGTATTCTCCAAACATAACACAGTCCCCATTCACAAGCCCAGGCACAGGCCAGCATTTGATCTGTTGGTTTTACACCTGTAAAAACAACTTGTGTTTATTTGTCACTCAGCAAACCGTTTGGGGCAAGAGGGGAGAAAAAAGGAAAGTGGAAGAGGAGCGAACTTGCTCATACCACAGAGTTCAAACGCCTTCCCCAAACCAACTGAAAAGTAAACATGGTAAAGGTCAGCATGGCAGAGACAATCAGAAAATCCCTGCTCTTTGTCAGCGTAGCACACACTGCACAGGAACACGAGAAGTGGGACACTGTTCCAGCCCTCGGTTTTCTCCTCGTTATCCCGGCCCCTGATGCTTGGGTCTGTTATGCCACATCCTTCCAAGGGAGGCTGTAAACAAGCTGTAAGCTAATTTCAGCTCCTTCTTTTTCCTTTATTTATAGGCTACCAATTATGTGTTCCTCCCTCGTGCCCTTCAGTTCGGTTTCCCACAATCAGTCTTGTAGAATAGCACCATTTGAATAATCTCACGTCTCAATCAAGTCTACCAAGTCAGAGGCTCGGACTTCAAATTAGTTGATTCTAACACCACACGTGGTGAAACCAATGCAAGTGTGCCAGTTCTCTCAAGTTCAGATTTCATTCGTCATCTATTCTTTCATAAACTGTATCTCCCTCAGCAACATAGATCTTCAAACATTCACTCTATCCCCAGTTCTTCTTTTCACAAACCGAAGCCTTCTCAGGGACCTCAAGCCTTCATTGCTAAACCAGCTGGCAGCAATGGAGTCTTCCTGCTTTAGAGAAAGGAGAAAGGAACTGAGCCCATGGAGGTTTCCAAAGCCAAATTACACATCTGAGGACCCTGAGAAGGTTGGCAGTTTGGCATGAATACAGGTGGTTAAGAATTCAGGGCTCCTTTAAACTCACAGTCTTTAAAAGCCAACAAATAAGAGTTCATCATGTATTTAGGAGAGAAGCTATGCACCAATCAGAAGGAAATAGAAAGGGATGATTCAGTTGGCAGTTCCCTATCTCCCTAGCTTCTTGAGCAGTTCGGCTCTGGTCCCAAACTTGCATACTCTACCCAGAAAACAAAAGATATAAAAGGTGGTGCCATCTAGTAATTATTGAGTATAATTTTTGAGAGTCTGATCCTCTTTCCATGAATTTGGTCATATTTTTTCTAACCCTATTATTGCATAATCTCCTCTAATAATTCTCAGTTTTTAAAAAATCCTGTCTTGTTATATTCCCAAAGATACTTTGCTATGCCAGTGATGTATTAGAGTCTTCTGTTAGTTTTCCATGCCGTGTAATAAATTATGATAAACATAGTGGTTCAAAACAATATCCATTTATTATCTCACAGTTTCTGTACAACAGAAATCTGAGAACAGTTTAGCTGAGTCCTCTGCTCCAGGTCTCATCAGACTGAAATCAAGGCTTCAGCAGGGCAGCAATCTTATCCAAGTCTTGAGGTCCCCTTTAAGCTCACTGGTTACTGGCAGGATTCATTTACTTCAGTTTCTGGTTTCTTACTGGCTGTTGGATCGATCTCACTCTCAGCTACCAGACCCACCCTCCTATCCTTGCTCTGTGGCCTTTCCATAGGCACTTCACAGTGCTGTTTGCTTCCTGAAAACAACAAGAGAATCTCTCTGACTTCTTTTAAGATTCTGCCTGTTTAGGTCAAAGCCACCCAGGATAATATCCCTTTTGATTAGCTCAAATTCAACTGATTAGGGACCTTACTTACATCTGCAAAACATCTTCGCCTTTGCCATATAGCATAACCTAATCACAAATGTGATGCCTTTTATAGGATCCCACTGTTTTTATAACCCCAATTTTCATTTGTTTGTGAATTCACAAAGGAGTCACTGTCATGGCAGAGTTTTGTGAAGGAGGAGGAGGAGGAGGATGAGGAGAACAAGGAAGGAGGGAAAGAAGGAAGGAAGGACGGGAGTGAGGGAGGGAAGGGAAAGAGAGAGAGAGAGAAGATAAAGTTTTCTCTGTTCTAGTTGACTGTGTCCTTATTGGGTTATTAGGGAGAATATGTGACATGTATGTTAATGATGAAAAAGAAACACATCCCTCCGATATAAAGGAATGTTGGTCCTTATTACTGCTACCAGATTATCCTTCCCAAAATACCACTTTCAACCAGTCAGTCTCCTATTCAATGACTGCCAATGGCATCCCACATTATACCACATCGAGCCAAATTGCCACATCAATTTTATTTGTCTCAGCCTGGCACTCAAAGCCTTCTATAGACTGATCCCACTACTTAACAAACCAGATTTCCCAAAACTGCTCAACACAATTCCTATAAGCTTTTGCTGTTCTACAGGCAAAAACGGTGATTTCTACTGCCATAGTTAGCCTACCTACATGCTTTACTTACCTTCTTACCTACAAACACCATTCCACTGAATTCTCTTACTACATTCCTCCATCTACAGCAGACTAGGAGCTAAAGGCATATTCATTCTCATGTGCTCCAGGAAAATGTTGCAAACCAACTTAAACCTCTA